GCCGGGTTATTAGGGGTTTGGGCTGGTTTGAAGTGGGTTCTGGGGTGTCTGACTTGGGCTAGGGTTTGTTTTTTTTTGGAGTTTTATGGCTTTGGGCTGGCTTGACAGTGGCCCAAAATGGCCAGCCCTTTGCCCTTTTTATTTTAATTTCTTTTGTTTGTTTTTGCTTCTTTTCTTTTCTTTTTTTTTGTTGCTTTTTTTTAATTATTTTCTGATTTTATTAAATGTAAGATTAAAAATAAAAGACCCGAATTGACTCTAAAATTGACTAATTAAAATTCCAAAATTAACTAATTTCTAATTTAAAATAAAACTTAGAACAGATTCTAAAAATTGAAAGTAGAAATGCGGAGAACCATTTTTTGTTATTTTCCTTATTTTTGTAGTATTAAAATGCATACTATTTTGTATTTTTTATTGGAATTGTATCAAACAAAATGCACACAAAAATGCAAACAAGACACAGAATCATGCAATTAATTCCTAAAAATTTAAATAATAAAGAAAAATCCTAATTCTGAGGAATTTTGTAGGAGTAGTTTAAGCGTGGCAAAAATCACGTGCTCACATCTAGGGCCTCGGGTGAGTTTCGGGTGGTTAAACGGACCATTCCAAGTTGGATAAAATTGCAGAAAATCTGCTGTTGATGTTGCAGACAGTGGTTCTTCCCGTTCGCGAGTGGACCCTCGCGTTCGCGAAGGGAAAGGAGGGAAGGCTGTGAAGTTGGCCTTCACGATCGCAAAGGAGGTCCCGCGATCGCGAAGGGTTGAGCTCGTTTGTCATCGCGTTCGCGGGGGTGATTCCGCGTCCGCGAAGGGTTGAGTTGCTGAGGCATCGCGTTCCCGATGGGTGGTCGCGTTTGCGTAAGAGGAATTCTGGTCAACTTAAGTTTGTTCTTCACGAACGCGTGGTGTTGACCGCGTTCGCGAAGAAGGATTTTTATCAGCTAGGCAGAATGTTTTAAAAGGCCATTTTTCGCGATTTTGGGTCTAAGTTCACCATTTTTGAACGGGATTGAAGCTTTTGAGAGAGATTCTTGAGGAAACCAAAGGGTAATCTCTTGGAGGTAAGATTTTGACTTCATAACTTGTTTATATGTGACTAAAGGCCTAATTAGTGGTGAAATTTTGGGGAAAATCAGTGCAAAATGGGTAATTAGGGCTTGAGCTTAAGAGACCTTAAATGGGTATTTGAGGGGTCAATTGAACTCCGATTTCAGTGTTCTTGATATGTATAGACTCGTGGGAGGATGAGGATCATTTTGACATAAATTTTATCGAGTTTCGAGATGTGGGCCCGGGGGCTAGGTTTGGCCACTTTCGGGATTTTTGGTATAAATTGGATATTTTCGAGTGGGCTTTGTTCCCTTAGCATATTTTGATGGCATGATACTATTTTTGGCTAGATTTGGAGCATCCGGAGGCCGATTCGAGAGGCTATGGCATCGTAGGCTAGAGTTTGGACCGGATTGAGGTAAGTAATGATTGTATAAACTATTCTGAGGGTATGAAACCCCGGATTTCACATCGTTGTGCTACTTTGAGGTGATGCACACGCTAGATGACGAGCGTGGGGTCGTGCACCGTTGGGGATTGTGACTTGGTCCATCCCATACGACTATTAAGTCGCGTATTTTACTTGAGAACTATTTGATATTGTTATATTTTGGAAAATATTATTGTGTTTGGGGCTAAATGCCGTGTCTGGGCCTTGTGCTGATTGCTTGGACCCTTAGGGGCTTTTACTACTGTTTTTACCTCACTGTTTTGGTTTAATGTTTACACTCAGTCATGCTATGTTCTTACTATTTTCATAACACGATTTTATTTACTCCTTTTGATTTTATAAATGATTTTGAGCCGAGCACTTGCTTTACTGTCAGCCCGAGGGGCTTGATGAGATCTGACTAAGTGAGGCCGAGGGCTTGTGTTGTGAGGATATCATGGGATCGGGTTGCGCGCCGCAGCATGTGGTACTGATTTGTGATATATGAGAGGCCGAGGGCCTGATTTATTATGCCACGAGGTGGCTTGTGATTGATATGAGGTCGAGAGCCTATTTGATTATGCCACGAGATAGCTTGTTATTGCGCTTGGGTTGTAAAGGGCCCCTCCCGGAGTTAGTACACCCCCAGTGAGCGCGGGTACCCAGTGTGTTTGATGTGTTGTAGCCCGAGGGCTGTTGTTGTTGTTTCATATGGAAGCCCGAGGGGCTGTTCTTGAACCATGTTGCCCGAGGGGCGGTTCTTGATTCATGTTATGCTCGAGGGGATGATTACAAGTGATTATGAGGTAGCTCGAAGGGCTGGTTCTGTTGATATTATGCCTGAGGGGCGGTTTATGGTACATATTTTTCCCGAGGGGCTGTTTACGTTTCTATCATTTTTACTCACTGTTTTATCACTCGTTTGAAACTATTGAATGTTGTTTAAAAAAGGTTTTACTGAAACTGAGTTTGATTTACGAAATAAATGATTTCTATACTGTATTAGAATTGTACTGTATTTGCTGTAGCGTTATGACGTGGCTTACGTGTTTTCTTACTGCTCAGCTTTCATTTACTTTTATTACTTACTGGGTTGGCATACTCACATTACTCCCTGCACCTTGTGTGCAGACTCATGTATTATTTTGAACTCGGTAGTGGGTGTTGATTACTTAGTGGTAGAGTCATTGGAGTTAGCAAGGTAGCTGCCCGACGTTCGCAGCATTGCTTTTCTCCCTCTTGTCTTCCTTAGACTGTATTTAGTTTATTTTTAGACTCTTAGTTCTATTCAGACCTTAGTAGATGCTCGTGACTTGTGACACCCCGATGTCGGGCTGTGTTTTGTTTCCGCAGTTGATATATTTCGCTTTATTTTGGGATTTATCCTTATTAATGGCTTGATTTTGAATCATTATATCTGTTAATAGAACTTGGGGTTTGTATCGGCTGGCCTTGTCTTCACGAGAGGCGCCATCAAGATCGGGTCTAGGTTTAGGGTTGTGACAAGTTGGTATTAGAGCCTAGGTTACATAGGTCTCACGAGTCATGAGCAAGTTTAGTAGAGTCTCGCGGATCGGTACGGAGACATCTGTATTTTTCCTCGAGAGGTTGCAGAACCTTTAGGAAAACTTCACATTCTTGAATTCTTATCGTGCGTCCTTGATTCAGCTTGAAATGTAACTCTTTGAATTCCTTCCACGCATTCGTATATGCGTATGAGCGCTTGGTATTGGCTATTCATAGACGACTTGTGATTCCCTGATCGAGGTGCGAGATGTGATTCTGTGTTGATGATGGGCCAGTCTGGAGGACTTGAGGCTAGATTTTTGCCTATAGCTTGAGCCCTGAGCTGTTCATTGCGCGAGCGCATGTTTCTGGATCTATATGTTCGATTGTGTCCCTATTAAGGGAAATGATGACTGGATAGTTACGTGATGAGTATTATGTGATATTGAGATGTGTTCACATGAATTAAATGAGATGAGAAGGGTCTATTTTGGGGCAGCAAGAACTATCTGGTGCGTGATTTCCATCGTGATCTGATGTATTGCCCCGAGTTGTGGGCGTGATTGAAGGACCTTTTCATGTTGCCTAGTTGGGAAGCGAAGTAGATTTCACGTTGTGATATGAGTTCAGACTCAGGAAGATTAAGTGACTGCGTAACGTTT